GGATCCAACGAACTCGGGTTCAATCACAGTGGACGGTTTTGCACAGTTTCTCAAAATTCTCTATCGTGAATTGTTGATCGATGATATTATTGGTCATTTAGAAAGAGCCGGTATAGATTGTACAGAAAAAATCGATTTCAACAGGTTTCAACATTTATTGACGAGAAATATTTGTCGAGAAATTGTGGTAAGAACACATTGTGTACTTCGTCATCATGAAAGCTCATTTGACAAGGATCGCAAAAGTATCATCCATAGACAGCGCGGATTCTTAATAACAAATTCTATTGTCTTAGAACATTCGACATTTACTGCATATATATCATAAAATCAAACCTTTATTTCTTTATTTTATCTTTATTTTATAAAAAGAAGTTTTTTTTAATTTATTTATCTTTATTATTTAAATCTAAATGACGAATTTATATTTATCCGTTGTTATAAACGAAGAATAAAACTAAACCAAGGTCTCTAATCATGGCATCGTATAAAAGGGAAAATCACCGGCTGGAGAATTCTCCAAAACATTTTTCAGACTTACTCTTGAAAGGACTGCTTCACTCTCTTTTTTCGACTCTTCATGATTTTTATCACAAATTAGCACACTTTTTCATCTGTTTTTCATGTGATTTATCCGATGAACTGAAGTACTTTTACAGTTTTTCCAACCATCAGCTAGATATGGGTGGGACCAAGGTCTTTTAGTCCCGGTTCTGATCCCGATCCCGTTAAAAAAACTGTTTTGGTCTCGGTCCCGCCCATGTCTACCAGCAGCTCTTTTTCTAAACCTCTTATATCTCCCATACGTGATTAAAAGACATGAAAAAGAAACGAATCGAGAAGATTCATATACGACAAAAGCGCACAAGAAAAGAAAAAGCAGACTAGCGAGAGAAACGAGCAAAAAACAGTCAGAATCATGTATCATTCGTATGTAGGATCGTATAAAATCAGACACGATGTTATGTAATCTTACTATTTCATACGTAAGATCTCATAGGATCAGATCAGACCGTGCACTATCGTGCGTACGATTGTTGTACGAAACGTATAATTTGGACCCTGTAACTTTTCAGGTAGCATGATTCGGACGTCGATTATACCATTTCGATTATTCAAGATCATACCGGTTCATGTACGATCATACAATACAATCGTGTCTGATCATATCCGATCGTGTACGATCCACCCGTACGATTCGTCTCCGTGGGCTTCTAAACAATATCACATATTTCATTGTAAGGCAGCTGCTTCTACTTGTGTTCGTCTCAGGGTTGGCAACTGTTCCGATTTAGCTTCGGGCAGGTTTTACAGATTTTCAACGTTTTATATAAAGTCGTATAGAAATCCGACGTCTCTGATTATTTACCCATTATTTATTGTTACTTTCCGAGATGGATTATAATAACAGCTGCGTCTGATTGTTGTAGGGATTGTGAACTTTGTGCGTGTGACAGTACCGTGTGGTAAATCGTGTTTGACAAATACGTCTTGGAAGACACAACTTTGCTTGACTGAAAATATAAAAAGGTCCAGTAAAAATGTGCGTATACTTTAATTTACTTTTTCTACTCTCGGCAGTTGACCTTGATGCACAGACGAAATACAGGTCAGAATAAGGATTGATAAGAAACGATAAATACCCAGGGAAGTTTACCTTGAAAATTTTTTTCCCTTTCTTTTTCGAGCAGTACGATAACACATCTTTGAATATTATATCTTAATATTATAGGAGTACAGAACAACATTCTATTGTAAAAACATCTTACTGTTGACATCGGTCTTGTTCAATAAAACTCTTAAAAAGAACATATATTATTTATTATCAACAGTCAATGTCTGTTACACGTTCGGCCGCTGGTTATTCAGCAACATCAAATTATGTAAAAACCCATCAGAAGTATACGCACATTTTTACTGCATCTTTTTATATTTTCAGTCAAGCAAAGCTGTGTCTTCCAAGACGTACCTGTCAAACACGACTTCCAATGCCTTACTGTCAAACACAACTTACAAGCCGCTACTGTCAAACACGAGTTACAACACGGTACTGTCAAACACAACTTACAAGCCGTTAGTGTCAAACAGGACTTACCGCACGGTACTGTCACAGGCACAAAGTTCACAATCCCTACAACAATCAGACGGAGCTGTTATTACAATCCATCTCAGTGAGTAGACTTGCCATCGAACCAGAGTGAGAAAAAGTTTTTTCTCAAATGAGACTTGTGTGAGATCTTTAGAGACAAATGAGGGTGCCAACTCGAAACATAAAGAAAGCGGAAAGTAATAATAAATAATGGGTAAATAATCAGAGACGTCGGATTTCTATACGACTTTATATAAAACGTTGAAAATCTGTAAAACCTGCCCGAAGCTAAGCCGGAACAGTTGCCAACCCTGAGACGAACACAAATAGAAGCAGCTGCCCCACAATCAAATATGTGATATCGTTTAGAAAAGTGCTATAACTTGACAAAGAATACTTTCAAGTAAAACATCTAGAATATTTCTCATGCATCGATAGGACTCAATTGTACTGAACACAACACAGAAGTGATGCGTCTTTCATCTCCATATAAAGTTGAAGAAAGTGTCGAAACACATAACGAATGGATAGGTATATTTAGCTGCTGTTGAAATTCTGTGTGGCGATGAGCGAATGCTTCTTGCTTTGCAGAATGTCGATATCGTCAAACTGGAAGTAAAGAAAGTGGTAACGTGTCCAGTGTGGAATTCTGGTATATTCGATCTGGTAAAGATAAAGCGGCAGTAGAGTTGCAAAGATTTACATTTGAACAGTCGTCATTTCGAGATTCAAATTACTCATGGGCAGACTTTTTAAGAATTCTTAAAGTTGTTATATTACCAGATAAAGCCACTCCCGATCAAATTCGAACAGCATTTGATCTACTGGATCCAACGAACTCGGGTTCAATCACAGTGGACGGTTTTGCACAGTTTCTCAAAATTCTCTATCGTGAATTGTTGATCGATGATATTATTGGTCATTTAGAAAGAGCCGGTATAGATCGTACAGAAAAAATCGATTTCAACAGGTTTCAACATTTATTGACGAGAAATATTTGTCGAGAAATTGCGGTAAGAACACATTGTGTACTTCGTCATCATGAAAGCTCATTTGACAAGGATCTCAAAAATATCATCCATAGGTAGAGCGGATTCTCTAGCTCCTCCGGATATATAATTGCTCATTTTGTAGAGGAACATATACTCTTGATGTGTATCGCAATTAGATAATTGATAAAAATGCATTGTTTTTCGATAAATAATCGTTTCTTATGGCCCTTTATGTGTTATGTTTTAGGTGAAAGGAATGCCAATCTACCAAAAACTAAAGCCTGCCAATCGGTATGCGGCCTAGCACAACTTTTATTTTTTATAGTAGCAGCGAATAAACTAAACCTTAATATCTTTCCCATATTTTCAAATAAATGAGAGAATATAACAGGCTTCATATAAACGGGTGCTTTGGAGTGGTTCGTCCAGTGTTCACATAGAGAATGCCTTTACCGATCAATAGCATCCTATACTAGATTAAAATTCGATATAATAGATTTGTAGAAATGTTGTAGAAAACAGCAAAACATTTAGTTACAATATATATTTACATCGTTACGAGGAGCACAAAATCGGTATGCACAAGAAACACTATTCTTAATGCAAGAACTCGGAAGGAAACAGTTTCATTTCTAAATTAATCAATAACAAAAACAGATTTAACAATAACATTGATTGTCTCGTTAGGCTAGAATCAATCTGCTACTGTTCAGAATAACAAATCTGAAAGTGAAAACGAATATCAGCGACACACAGATATTACAAAAGGAAAATGCAGAAAAAATAATAACGAAACGAGAAAAGAATGTGAAAGCAAGACGCTGTAACAAGTAAAGAGAGTAGCACGAAATCTCTTTAAGAGCCATTGCACGTAAGATATGACCGACTTTCGTCAATCGATGTTCTCAAAACTTTTCCAACGAACTCTTGTAGACCAAACATTTTACTGAATTTTGGTAAGAGGCGCAAATCAAAAAGTTGTATCGTATCCCCGAAAAACGTGGATTCCACCATCTTGAAAATTTGTCAACAGGACTGGCACTCAGTGGCTTCGAGTAACCTTGAAACAGGAAGACTAACATAAAGTAAAATAAAATAAACACTGCCATTAGATTTAGCTTTGGGCTTCCAGTAGCATTGAAGGATGAAGAGAAGTATGTAGTCGATCATGCTAAATCTAATGGCAGTGTTTATTTTATTTTACATTATGTTAGTCTTCCTCTTTCAAAGTTACTCGAAGCCAGTGAGTGCCAGTTCTGGGGCTCCATGGAAATCAGATACCACCTCCAAATCACAAGTAACGAAAGCATGTTTTGAGCTCGCGGTTACGTAATTTTGTAGCCCACACGGTCTACTAGTTATGCGAAAATCTCCAAGGTTATGTAATTTGTTGTTGCTGAACTACAAGAGTTTAAAGTTGGCAAATTTTCACTTTCTGATTTGTTATTCTGAACAGGCAGATTGATTCTAGCCTGACGAGACAATCAATGTTATTCTTAAATCTATTTTTTGTTGTTGATTACAGAATCTTTGCTTGGACTTGAAGTGCTAAAAATAAAATGCGCGTAATTTTCGAACTATATTTTCTCTCATCCACAGGGAAGCAAATCCAAGCGCGGATTTGATGCTTCTTTGGATGGATTTGGAGTTGTCCACCTCATCTATATTAGTCACTGAAATCGACATTCTCGAAATCAAATATTGTCTGATTTGTGTCTAAAAATCTGTTTTTCTATG